ACGTACCACTTCCCTTCCCTGCTTACAGGATCCAGCCTATTATCTAGCTCAAGGGTAGTCCAGTGTGCTCCTCATCATATCCCACATCTTCACAGTTTTAGTTTAAAGAGAGCTTCAATAAAGCCTTGGGCTTCTGCCAAACTTTAGTCAGCTTTCCACTATCACAAGTCTTTCCCTGCAGCCCTGCATCGGGATCCAACTCCTGCAACGGACTCTTCCACTCTGTTGTCTTCCCTGTGTTCTTCCCACATAATCTTAGAACAAGGAACTGCATCTAGCTGTGACTTTGTCATGATGCCAGCTCCTGCTTCCCAGGAGAGATCCTGGAAGGGTCTGTCACAGAGTTCAGCTCTACCAACGCGGAGTTCCTAAAGAGCTTTGACACCACAGAATGGAAACCCTGCCACCTAAAGTCCTATCCATCCTCGTATTTTCACACAGACAGGTGTCATTTTTTGTTTATTAACTAGTTAAATTTTCTGACTCTTCTGGGAAAGCTTTGGACCGATTATTCTCTCTCCCTTATCAGCCATTGTTCAAACAATGCAGTTTATTACTACAGTTTTCCCATTAAGTCCTTAATGGATGCAAGAACCTGGAGACTGAGTGCACTTATGGGCTGTTCTCTCCACTAGGACTGCATTCCCTTATTGCTCATTTATTTCAATACAGCTTTAAATGCAAACTGCAGTGGAGTACGAGTAATACTTTCTATGTACTAGATCACTGTAGAAGGAAGAGGAATGTGTTTTTACTGTCTGGTCTATAAACAAGAGTTTTATGAGAGATGGGAGGTGGGACTGTCAAAACAACCAGATTTTATGGCTCAGTCCCATGTCTACTGAAGTCAGTGGATGCTCCCAGAAGTACCATTATTTTTCTGTTTACCTGGAGCGTTTCCAACTCTTACTGAATGCTTATTTCCATAAACACATTCCCACTAACAGGAAGGCTCCAATGCAGGTTTACTGATGATTTTGCTAAGGGTTATTATATATGTAACAACATAAAAGCAAGATATATCCAGCTAGAATGAGGGGTCTTGGGATTACAGTTTTAAAGATTTTGAGCTGTGAGGCATATTTTTCAGTTTTTAATCCAGTGCTTCACATAAAATGACTTCTTCTACTGGTCTGAAAGATACAGTAACTCAGAAGCTACTCCACGAACTGTTCTGTCACTGCAGATGCAGGAGCTTCTCTAGGGGACTTTGACCAACAGCAAACTGCAGCAATCATTCACTTTCCTAACTTTAATCCGCTGCTGCATCTGAGTCAGAACACGTTTTGGTTCAAGATCTGGAGTCACCTACTCAGAAGGATTTCAGCTCCTAAGATCTCTCCTACATATTAAAGGCAATTCAGCTGCTGCCAACCCTGGAGATGGCTAAAATCTCCAGACATCTACGTTAATGTAACTGAGCTTGCTCACGACTGCTTAGCCTGGGTAGTGCCATGGATATATAGCCCTTAAGGTTCACGAGGTTACTCCCATCATGAAGTCTTTGACAAGGAGCAGGTTGGCTCATGATGATGGTGGCAGGAGGGGGAAGTAATCTTTTCCCAATTATTCAACACTACAGCACTTGCCTGTATCATAAGAAAATTTGTGACCAGGTTTTTATTTTCTGTTAAAGGAGGTTTGAATCCCAAAAATTCACAGGAGAACAACAAGTGTGAATCTGTTTTTTTCAGACTCTTTTATTGAAGCTGTCATGTGTTGCATGAAATGTTTAAAAAACAAAACCGAAAAGAATACTTTTCATCAGGCTGGGGACTGGAACCCAGGCCTGATCTCTGAGTAACAGTTTTCAAATTTTGCTACAATTCTTGGTCTTTTCCTCTGCACTATAAATAGGGATGCAAATGGAAATAGCTTCAGCATGAGTCTGTGGAACCATTTGTCCTTTAAGTTCTATTGACTTTCATTGTGGGTGATCCACTGATAGCAGTTTACCATTAAGTTTTTCACATTTTGGACGTAAGAGGTTGAATTATTTTATGCCTTCTTTGAATCTGCAACTTAGCTGAAGGGGTTTAGAAATACATCATTTCCATTTGAGACCTTGCAGATTGATTGACAACGACTGCTCTGATGTAGCCTTCAGCACTGACCAGTATTAAGGTCGATGATTCCTTCATTCTCTTTGCTTGTAAATTCCCCAAAGTGACTGGGAGCTTTCCCATCTGTTTCAGCAGGGGTGGGACCAAGGCCTCAAACCTAATGTAGCTTTTTTAGTACTGCCAGAGGGATTGACTATCCTGCTGGTCCATCTTAGCCATCCATCTTTGTATTTATCATCAAGAAATCTTTGCACATGGTGAATTGAGACAGACTTGATCCTTTACACCGCAACATTGCTCTGTGCAGGACTATTGAGCAATAACACAAAGCGAAACTCTAAATTCACCCCAGAACAATCTGGATGCTAAACCCTGGCTCTATGGCATGGATCAGGAGAAATCTAGACCATGATTAATCATAACAAACAATAAAGCTGTTTACATACAATCAGCAAGCAACAGTGCATTTGTCCGATTAGCATTTTAGCTGTGGTGTTAAACTGGGAAAAAAGCAAGCAATTAGGAAATGGATTGGTTAATCATTTTTAATGACTACCTGTGGTGTTAGTAGCATGTTTTGGTTAACAGCTCATGAATCCACAAAGAACCATTTAACCTGCACCCTCCAATAATTGTATTAAAACAAGGCTATAATAACGACAGCTACATACCTGGCAGTACCATCCAATTGCTCCTTCCTATTAAAGAAGAGAGGAAGCATTACAAGAAAGCGAGGAAAGAATAAGTACATAATAAACCCAGCAGATTTTTTTAAACAGAAATTTCTAATCTATTGCTAACAGTTTATACCTCTTTTGTTCTGTGACCATAACTGACAGCAGAATAAAAGCTACATTTTCACTTAGCCATGAAGCAAAGAAAGTGATACACGTTCCTGAAACCAATCTGTGCTGCTTAGACTGGCAATCTAGTCTTTGGTGAGAAGTGAACTCCTTTGCCCTCTCTCCCAGGACCTTATTTGCAAAACACTTATTAAATTTCAGGTTGCATTTGAATCACAGAAGAACCTACATACAATGAGTAAGCTTGAAGTCATGGTAATGAGCCTAGACTCAGGCAAGCCTAAGAATTGTTCTCTGAACAAAACCTGAGGTCACGAAGCCCTCTAGAAATTAGTCTATACTGGATAATGTGGGAATAGATGGACAGTGAGAAGGGATAAAGAAAAGGAATGTACTGAGCTTTAATTAAACACTTGTGTTTTTTCTTAGAGGTTTTCTTTTTGACATAAGTGAAATCAGTCCTAAAGAAATGTGTTGGGAATAAAACAAAGAAAGAGTTAATATTTGTAATTTGCCCTTTGTGAAGGCAGGAGCCTGAAATGTTCCTTCAAGTCAGTACTGAGCACCAACCGGAGCTGCAGTATTAGCTCAGTGAGCAGAATGTAAATGTGGAGACTTCTGTTTGAGCTGAGCAGTAGTTTAAGGGCACTTTTTCTCAGAATGAGGCATAGCAGCAAGTCCAGCATGAAAGTTTGAAGCATAAACTTGGATAAGTAATACCCATTATTAGCAGCTGACAGTCTATAGCCAAAAATCTTGGCTTTCACAGAATCATTAAGGTTGGAAAAGACCTCTAAGGTCAAGTCCAACCGTCAACCCAACACCACCATGCCCACTAAATCATGTCCCAAAGTTTTTGTCCACATGTTTTTTGAACACTTCCAGAGATGGTGACTCTACCACCTCCCTGGGCAGCCTGTTCCAATGCCTGACCACTCTCTTACTAAAGAAATTTTTCCTAATATCCAGTCTAAGCCTCCCCTGGCACAACTTGAGGCCATTTCCTCTCGTTCTATTGCTGGTTACTTGGGAGAAGAGACCAACACCCTTGTCGCCACTACCCCCTTTCAGGTATTTGTAGAGAGTGATAAGGTCTCCCCTCAGCCTCCTCTTCTCCAGATTGAACAACCCCAGTTGCCAACATTTTAAAATGTTAAGAGCTCAAGGTGATGAATCTGCCAGTTTGACAGGCAAGAAAAGTGAGGATCAGACAGACTCATACCCATAAGCATACGAATGTCCAGTAAGTCTGAATGTCTTTATCTATGGAGTGTTTTCCACTGAACTCAGAAGTGGTGATTAAAATAAAGCCATGACTCCAAAAAACTTTTATTATGAACCTTCAGTTAATAGTTACAGTGAGAGACAGTTTTAAACATGCTTTGGCTGTCTTCCACTGAATTATCCCCTTGAGCAATTGGTGTTGCCAAAAGACAAGCATTTAACAAGCATTAACTATGTTCACATGCCATGGCCACCTCTGTGAACACCACAATTCTCAGGCCAGTTGAGTTAGAGAGGGAAAAGTAAGAATTTTCAGCATAGCCCATATCTTAACATACACAATTCCATCATAGAGGGTGCAAGAGGTACAGATGCCTCTGAAGTCCAGGGCTAAAACTTTATCAAGATCAAAATTTCAGAGGGAGAAATTGAGATTTCCAGGGCAATAAACTCCAGAGTCTTACAAAGGGAAGGTGACGATGAGGCAGCCTTCTCCTTTGTTTAATGCCAACATGAGAGCCACTGACGGACTTATCCATGTGCCCCTAATATATCCCAGCAGAGGAAGAGAAAAGAGACGGATCCAGAAGCCAAAAAGCATGTTTTTTAGTCTGAGGCAGGAAGTTAACTGGCAACTCTCTGTTACCTACAAAAGCCTTACTGATATATATAAAGTCTACATTTCCTGTCCTGCCTTACACTTCACAGAAAAAGATGGTGGAGAGGTCGACAATGCACTTACCTGAAAAATGGAAATGACACAATTGATTCATAAAATCTCCAGGTAGCAACTAGATCAATCCTGTTGGGGTTAGTAGCATAGTATCTCCAAGCAGCCTGAATTACGAGGGAGAGAAAATAATTACTGTTAGGTAAAGCTATACCCCAGGCTGACAGTAGCCAGATTGCTTCAAAGAACGTAACAATGCACCTGAGTGACTACCTGGAAATTAATTACTAATCAGCCATAACAAATCATTGTCACTATATAGCAAAACTATTGACACTGAATTATGATCAGGGAGGCTGTTAAAGGAGACAGGACATGAGAGAGAACCACCGACACCAACAAGACATTACATTTGACTAAACTGGTTTTATTCTCCTGTCTGGTATGTCTAAAAGAGCTTCAAGCGCTGCGGGATCTGGCCAATATTTCTGGAAGTGCTTAAGCTAATTTACTGTCTGATGTACCATCAGAGGAAATTTTGCTGAGTAATTTTCTTTTTCAACATTTAGCTCCAATCAAAATTCTCTGAGCATATACATAACCCCGCCCTGTAGCTAAATTAGTTACCTGCTAAGTGGAGATGCTTTAATTTAAAAGGTGAATTCAACTCACCACTCATCCCTGCAGCCCCTTCTGTTTGCTAAGGAGTGTTTTTAATAAGAACAGCATAATATGCCACTCAGCCTGTTTCTCCTGAGGACTGGTTTGATCCTGAGCAGTCCTGAGAACCAATGCTTCCATCTGATACTTTCTCTGGCCCTCTGTGGAAATGCTGCCATTTACTTCACTGCATTAGGGTGTGCTCCACACCTACTAAGAGTAACTCCTGTCAAATTTGTCAGCCCCGGCCTAGTAATTTCAAGCTTAATTTTCTGAATTCATAACAAAGGCCTTAACTGAAGTCCAAGTGAGACAAGAAGTCTCTTCCCCTTGAATCCTCTGATCATCCAGTGACATAACAAAAAATCTAGGGCATGTTTCAGTTTTTACAAACCACACATACTATTTTAGTTGTTTGCCTTGATTGAAACAGTCACTGTCTATTGTTTTACTTCTGTTGCTGTTTTCACATTAATAACAACACAACTTTGCACGTAAAAGCACTTTCTCAAGGGATCTGACAAAACCTGGATATTCAAAAGAATGTTTTTGACAGCTTGTTTTCTGTGATTTTGTGGCACTGATGCAGAAGTCTGTTGGTTTCCAGAAGCTACAGATAAGACCTTTCTTCTAAAGACAACTTTCTTATAAAAGATATTCTGGGAATTGAAAGATTTCTCAAAAACTGCAAGGACCACTGGATTATCTAGCAGGACATGAAAAAAACGGACTCCTTTACAAACAGAGCTTCTCATTCCTGCAATGGGAAATGAGAATTTGGGCAGGGGGGAAGCGGCAGCCCTTGTTAACCTGATGCAGCAGTCTTCATAGACAACACTTTTTTCAAGGAGGGGATAAGTGGCTGCAAACCTGGATGAGTTCAGCTGCTGGCTTTCTTCTTTTCTCAAAATGTTTTTGACGATGTTGCTCCTGGACCTTCAGTGCCAGCCCTGAGCCCAAAATGCCCTGAAAGCATAGAGTGATGCAAGATTTTAGGCATTTCTTACTCAGAAAAAATGAATCAATGATGAGAGGAAACAGATCTGTGGGTGGAGATGGAGATGGCTACGTGGGACCTTTATGCAGTACAGCATGCCTTTCCCACTGCTCTGCTCATGAGACACAAGTTTGTCATGATCATCTCAAGGGCCACAGGCCACACCAAATCATGTGAACATCCTCAACAGGCTTCTTGACAGTCTACTGCCTACATCCTTCCAAGATGGAGGTGTCCAGGTAGTGTTTTACTTTGCACTCAGGGTAGAGTGAAACTGTGCTCGTGTGATAAAAGAGCTATGCTAACCATACTCCGGATTTGGGTGTGTGGGACCTCCCATCCTCTGTGGAATTCTTTCCAAGTCTCAATCTAAAGGAAAAATATCCTAAAATATGGACTTGGGATGGTTTCTGGTTCTATTCAGTCCATCTCACCCAGATCTTGTTTCATTCTTAGCTGAGGACTTTGCAGACAAGGCAAATATTTGTCCTATGTAACACAAGAGAACAAATAGACTTTCAAAAGCGATTTAGAGATCATTACTTAAGCAGCCAGATTAGTATTCACCTGCCTAGATCAAAAATACCTGTACTGTCACCTGATATCAAAATTCCCTTTAATCGTAATGGCTAGAAATACTGCTTCTGTGGTGGTGTCAGAGATCTCCTCTAGGAAGTAAGGGAGACAGGTGAGATGAAATGCTCTGCAGAGCTGCACTGCTATAAAGGATGACCACCGGACTGTGATGATCACTCAGATGTAGATCTCTGGCTTGCAAGTGTTTAGAGCTAGGTAAAATGGACTCAACCATAATTTTTAATACAATGGGCCCCAAATCCTTTAAAAATATTTTTTGTGTGGCTATGTTAATACCAGTAAACTAACCCGGGCCAGGGTACAGGCTGATGAACTGCCCTGTGATTTGCCTGACTGTTCACTTGCTGGATTAATTTTGTCCTGTGCCAATGAGCACTATCTATCTCAGACAATATCCACACATGGTTCAAGGAGTATTGGGGTAAGATATGATTCCAAATAGGCTCTAAGCAAAGTTGGGAAGAAAGGAGTTTGATTTACCAATATAGACCAGCTAAAGTGTCTGAATCACTTCTTAAAAAGGGATTTTGATTCCACTGGCAGTTTTGATCACTTTACCTTCTTTTTGCAAGTGCACAGCATTGGGCTGTGGCAGAGGAGGGGGAAGGTACTTACTGCAGGAAGAGCAAAGAAAGACACTCCAATGAGAGAGAATGTAGCTGCAATCAGCCGTCCCTCCCATGTTTTGGGGGTCTTGTCGCCATACCCAATCGTAGCGAGGGTGATCTGTGGGCAGAATGACCAGGACTTCCCATAAGAAAAACAAAGCCAACAGCTCTGCTTTAAATGTCACCACAAAACCTACATAACTCATTCAGCTCTATAGGTGCTCATGCACAGCTTCTTAAATTAGGATCCTGACGATGGACCAACCAATTTTTTTTAATGGCATCACAGTCCAGAGGCATTGCACCAGGGATAATGGATTTAATCTTAAAGCAGCTGCCTCTCTGGGATGCATTTGCTGAAAGGGAACTCCATCTGACATTGCACGTGGAGTGAGTCTCCTGCCCACCACCAGTGCACAGTTAGGAATGGGACTTGCCAGTTAACAGCTTGCAGAGCTTTAACAAACAGTCAGGGCTACCTCTCCCTGAAGCCTCAGTCTCTGTAAAACAAAGATGACTTTGTGAAAACTTACTCCTTTCCTGCACAACTGCTGATTTCCAGCTGTGTACCTTGTCTCACTAATGAGACTTTATCTAAATGTCCTGGATAGGTAAGGATATGAAAATATCCAGGTGTTCTATGCAACACTTGGGACCTTTTGATTAATAATGGTGGGAAAGGATCTTGCCATTCATAAATTAACTGCATTAAATAAAAAATATGCTGCTGAATATTTTTTCATACCCATACCCTAACTAATGGTAGCAAAGGAACATGAATTCTGTCTGCCAGGTGGGAGGAATATTTCGCAATCAGATGAGCAGTGGCACAAACCAGTACTCCTGTTTTCATCAGAAGAGGCAAGAACAGATATATCAAAGGTCTCTCTTGCTCAGTATCCTACCACCAATGGCATTCGCTGAGTGATTCTTGGCGAATGCATGTGAGACACAAGAGAAGTGTCAAGTTATCCTTTCCTGAGACATTTTGGACTTGTTAAGTGTCATCCCATTAATCATTGCTCCAATCTAACCAGATTCCTCTGCAAGGCCTCTTGTCCCTCATGACAGTCAACAGCACCTCCCAGTTTGGCCAGCTCTGGTTTTGCCATTGTCTGAGGCATGTAACTCTCACAGGCAGGATAGGTCTCCCATAGGCATATAGGCTCCACCAGTGCAGTTTACACTTAAAAGAGAGGTTTCCCAGAAGCCAGGAGCACAGACTGATTTCTGGAAGGCGTTTAAGCACCTAAGGGCCTTTGTCTGACTGAAAATCACCAGGGAGGTAACTTCTGTTAATTGGTTGTAGGGGCATCCCTACTTTGATAATGTTATACTAGTAACATGCTTCTCACACAAATTTAGCAGCACTTATACTGTAATCCATAACATCAATACTTTACCTCTTCCTGGATACGAAGTTTTTAAGAAGGGGATAAGGTATTTTTGGAGTCACTTACCAGTCCCCACCACAGTGCATCTGCATAGGTTTCAAACTCTTCCTTCATCTCCACCCCATTAGCATCCTTTTCAGGAACATCTTTTTCAACCAGATAAACAAGAAACGAGGAGAGAATGAGCGTCAGGAACCCAATGTACCAAGCAGTGATTAGTTCCTGCAAAAGAAACAGATGGACAATGGAGGGGCTGAAAACAGTCTCAATACCCACAGTGGCAGAGTAAACGTCAGGAGAAGAAAGAAGCACTGAGGATAACAGCAGAGCTGTCGCTGATGGCTTCGTCACAGTCCATGACCAGCCCATCTCAGCACTTACTGGGACATAATGCAGAGATTTACAAGAATTAGCCCTCACATGGCATCTTCCTTGGGAACAGCTTGGAGCAATCTGCAGTTGTAGTGCTGCATAAAGCTGGGTTAAGGACTTAGCTGCACACATGACACAGGGTGATGCAGGGCTCTGTCCCTGACCTTGACTCTTCCCATTCCTGC